AGGTCTTCTAGTCCAACCCTCTGCTTAGGCAGGAAACCCTGCACCGCTTCAGACAAATGGTTATCCAATCTCTTCTTAAAAACTTCCAGGGTTGGCACATGCACAACTTCTGGCAAGTTGTTTCACTGATTAATTGTTCTGACTGTCAATAAATTTCTCCTTAGTTCTAGGTTGCTTCTCTCCTTGATTAGTTTCCATCCAAGTTGCTTCTTCTTCTGCCTTCAGGTGCTTGGAGAATAGCTTGACTCCCTCTTCTTTATGGCAACCCTTGAGATATCAGAACACTATTATCACGACAACCCTACTCCTTCTTTTCATTAAATTATACATACCCAATTCAGGCAACTTTAACAGTCCCTGGCTGGGTCCTTGGTTAGGAGTTGAATTATTAAGTTTCCAGCAGTCTCAGACTGTGACTCTAACCTGCACATAATCATAATCATTTTATTTAGCAATAGCACTTAGATTTAGAGAGAGGTTATGTGCCATGAAATGGCTTGTTAAAGATGTATATATACCACTCCACACTGCTTTACAGCCCTCTCTAAGTAGTTTAGAGTGTCAGCATATTACACCCCAACAAGTTTAGGTCCTCATTTTACTGACTCCAGAAGAATGGGAGGCGGATGCACCCTGGTCAGGATCAAACTACTGGCAGTCAGCAGAGTTAGCCTGCAATATTGCATTCAAACCACTGTGCCACCACAGTTGGAATTTATTTATTTTATTCATAAAATATCTTTGCACCTTTATAATAATCATCTTGGGTGCAAACCAGGGGATTTTAGCAGCATTTGAACACTTGCGACATTGTCAAAATTGTCAACCGTCAATTGCAAAAGGCAGCTTTCCTCGGAACAGCTGCAACAATCCATTTAACAGCATCAAACAACATCTACCTATCCCAGGTCCTTGGAAGGACTCAATTGGTCAATAAAAAGCCCAAATCCAGTCTAAACACCAGACTAACAATGCGAGTAACCATAATCATAATACTTGAACATCATCGGCATTGACAAGACCACCATCAGTCAATTGCAAAAGGCAACTGTTAGAAATGCTTCTTTATATATAGCACCCCAGAGCAAACAAGGAGTGCAGTCACCATGTGCTTTACTGCTTAACTGTTTTAACTGTAACAGGAGACAGGAAACTCTGCTTAGAACCAAAGAGCATGGAGTATATTACATTGGTCCAAACTTGTGAACACTGCCCTCTACTGACTGAATATTACTGTAGTTGTTGGATAGAAAGACATTCCAGCAATAAATTCCAACAGCAACTTTGCTTGGAACAGCTCCTGGAATGCTAAAAATGCCAAATCCAATGTAAACATCTGGGTGACTGTGTGACGAACCATCCTAATCAAGTTTTCACCAGTCTTGGACATGTGAAATAAAACATACTACTACTACTACTACTACTACTACTACTACTACTACTACTACTAATAATAATAATAATAATAATAATAATAATAATAATAATAATAATAATAATAATAATAATGAAAATATCAGAAGCCAGGGGAGGCTGTGTTGTGAGTGCCTGGTGAACCATAGGCTTTTCAGTAAAACTGATTGAATAAACTATGGCTTAGTGCGATATGTTAAACCCATCTAGTCTCTCCATTAGGGAAGAACTTATAATAAAGCAAAATCAAAAACCAATAGAGTAGGATTTCTGGGGGAAATGTACGGGGTGGAAGAATCTTGTCTCTGCCTAAGAAAACAGCCTTTCCCCCCTAAATTGTAATTGGCTGACTAAATAACAATTAAGACTGATTTAATTATAATTATAATGAAAGGGTAGGGAGAGATATTACTTATTTGACAAGATTTTTTCCTTAAAAGAGCCATTTCATGGCACATAACCTCCCAAAATAGAAAGAATCAAGACATTGTGTATTTTTTTTTAAGAACAGATAGAAGATATTCACAACTTGGGGGTGAGTGGTGTCATGCAAAAATGGTTGCATTTATTTCCCATTTTTGTGGGGAATGTTCACACACTAATTTACAGGCTTTGCAGTCAATAAATGGCAATGCTTAGCAGGGTGATTTAATGGGGAGTACACTGGATATATAGGGATGTGATGGCTCAGTGGCAAAGACGCTGAGCTTGTTGATCAGAAAGGTTGGCAGTTTGGCGGTTCGAATCCCTGGCGCCGTGTCATGGAGTGAGCTCCCGTTACTTGTCCCAACTTCTGCCAACCTAGCAGTTCAAAAGCACATAAAAAAATGCAAGTAGGAAAATAGGGGCCACTTTGGTGGGAAGGGGATAGTATTCCATGCACCTTCGGCATTTAGTCATGCCGGCCACATGACCACGGAGACGTCTTCAGACAATGCTAGCTCTTTGGCTTTGTAACGGAGATGAGCACTGCCCCCTAGAGCCGGAAACAACTAACACATATGTGCGAGGGGAACCTTTACCTTTACACTGGATATTGAGAGAGACATTTTATTCTGGATGCTTATAAATGTAATTAATACCTATAAGAGCAGATCAAGGTCATTCTCATCCAGGCTTAAATAATTTTTTAAAAAATGTTTTAAATTAATTTATTAAATTTGCAAGTGGACAGGCTCCCAGAAACTCTGGGCAACCCACAGTTACTGATGAACACCTCCCGTCGAACACTGATGATGTTCCCTAGTTGGGTCATGAAACATCTGAAAGAAAGCAACCAAGCTCAGAAAGCACCAAGGAGCCATCCTCCTCCTCCTCCTCCTCCTCCTCCTCCTCCTCCTCCTCCTCCTCCTCCTCCACCACCACCACCACCACCACCACCACCACCCTTCAAACCCCACTCCCTTCTGGCACTGAAGTTGTTACACAACTGAAATGTCTGGAAGAAAACCATCAAGCTTAGAGAGCACCAAGGACCCACAGAACATCTCCTTTGCAGTTGATGACTATTTTTCATTTTTGGAATAGAACAGGGGTCCCCAAACTTGGCAACTTTAAGACTTGTGGATTCAACTTCCAGAATTCCTCAGCCAAGTTCGGAGACCTCTAGAAAAGAAGAAGAAGAAGAAGAAGAAGAAGAAGAAGAAGAAGAAGAAGAA